ATGGCCTCAAAAGTCTTCTCAATGCAGGGCAACTAGGTAACTCTCTGCTTTACCATTATGTGAAAATTGTTCCTCTAAGCAAGTAGCACCATCTCCTGTTTATTTCTTAATCCGTTTTCCTTCCCTTCTGTTTTAATGAGAAATTTCTTCCTGAAAATTAGATGGCTCATAGTGTTTTAAGGCCCATAATGTTTTAACACACCTGGTTAGAAGTGTTTTAATGTTGCTTTAAAAGGAAAGTGAAATGAGACTCAGATTGACTCTGCTCTTTGATATCTCTGCCATCAAGAATCTATGGAGCTGGGAGATGTAAAAATGTCCTGTTGGTTCTGAATGGGTGTGTCAATTTGAAGTAATTGCTTTACGAAAAGTTTATGCAAGAGATATTGATAGATGGAGCGAGACTCAAAATGAGCAAGTATCATTCAAAGAGAAGGTCAGAGGTGACTGGCATCTATCTAGTTGAATTTAGAAATTTCTTCCATTTTTGCTACTCTAATTGCAAATTATGTTGATGTGACTTGACATCACAGAGAAGCATGTAAAGGAGTGGCAATTATATTTCCTTGCTCTGAAAGAAAAATAAAAGCAAATTAAATAAAAATAAACATAATGTAGTAAAATGCAGGATCAGATTATCTCTTGATGCCCATACATAGTTATACTTCTGGCCAGTGTGCTTCTACAGCTGTTTCCTAAGAGTAAAACCTCATCTGTCATATATCATATACTTCAAATAGACCATAAAACATTATCAGAAAACAAAATTGTTATTTGCCTAAATTCATTCCAAGGAGAAAAGTCCAATACATAATCTGAGATAAAGTCTGCAGTCTTGATTCTTGTACTTTTGTATGCAGTAATACCTTCTCCTTATGCAATTCTACTGGTTAAATTAATTTGATTAGGTTTTTTGTAATTTCTTTCCCTGCAGCTCTACTCCACAAGAGAAAAATGATTACTTTGCTGAATAGTACATAGGAAAATAATAATAATAGTCATTTATGTATTTGGAGCTTTACAAAGTGAAATACCACTGAAAAAATTTATTATCATGTTTTAGATGAGGCTGAGATATTTAGAACTTATTTTTTTAAACTGGTAATATTATTTAATTAATAAACTTACAATTTTGTTAACGGCTGGGACAGGTACAAAATGTATGTCTCTGCAGCAACACATTTGCTCCAATTCTACGAGCAATGCATGGTGAGTTTGTTTGACTAGCCTGCATGGTTCCATCAGTGCTCTTACACCTAAAATGTAGATGGTAGTGGAGCAAAGCAGTGCTCTTGAATAAAATGTCAATAGTCACTGGAGAGAAGATGCCTTTGAAAATCTCTGGAAAAAGTCTGTCCCTGCTTATGTTTGGACACTTAGACAGAAAGGCTGTCCCTGTAGAGGTCTTTGAAGGCAACTGTGTCTCCTGGTTATTCAGGGAATTAAATATGATCTTTTCAACAGTATCTAAAATTTAGCCATAAACTACATGCTTAAGTTAAAACTCCTACAGTTTAAACTTAAACACCGATAATGAGCGCTCAATTAACCTGTACGTGTTACTACAAACTGAAATCATTAGATGAAAAACAGTGGTGTGCTTTTTCCTCTTTATACTCTTATTTTTGTCATAACAAGCCTCCTCCTGTTTCCTCTGCAGCTTCTTTGTGTACGGAGGAAGTTTTTCTTTGGGGTGTTTTATCAGTATTAAGTGTAGCTATTCAAGTAAATTTACTTTCAGCATATACTAGAGCTTCTATCTGCTATTCCCATTTGTCTTATGCTTGAAGTAGAAGGATGTTTCATCTTAGCTCAATCTGTGACACATGTACTACTGTTCTTTCCTCCAGCTAGAGGGTAAAAATATTTTTATAAGTAGCCATTCAGTTTGATACAGCTGCTGAAACTTAGCATGACTTCTCCCAGTTATGTCCTGTAAATAACTTTTAGCTAAAGACAATTTGTCAAGCACAGTTCAGGCTTTTGTAAGGATAACAAGTCCTTTCTTATAATTCTTAAAATATTAGCTGATAGTTAGATATATATGTATATATATGTATATAGCCAAAACCCAAACAACATTGTCAAGGCCCTCAGCAACTATACCTTACATAATTGTACATGCTTCATCTCTTTGGTTTCTAAGTCACACACAACATCTCAGAAAGTTTCAAAGGATTTCATATAGCTTAAATCTTTAGATAATTTAGTGAGTTCTATTAAATACGATATTCCTATGCCTTTCTTAGACCAATGTAGAACAGATTTGTGATTTACTTCTGCTTGGAAAGTAAGTAGGAATAATCAAGTTTAAAGAAAGACATTTTGGCATCCCATAACACATGACTTCAAGATCTCCATTTTCTTGTATTGTTTTCTCTCACAGACAACCAAAGCTCCAGAGGACAAACATGTCCCCAGGAATTAAGGAAAAACTGAATTGTCTGAAAAAACACATCAAATAATGTGCTGAACTCCACACAATTTGTGAAGAGACAGCTTCCTACCTTGGAGCAGGAATAAATATGTCTTAAAGACAAATTTAACTCTTCCCATTTAATTTTAGAGCCCTGAAGTAAAGTTCCAGAGCAGAGCAAAAGAATCAGACCTAGAGGCATGGACTAAATTCTCCTCACCATTGTCAGGTCTAGAGGGTCATTTTTAAGCTACTGCCACAATAAGCAAGAGCAGTTATCCTGTCAGCTCACTCTCCTGTGACTAGTGCAGTCTCCCAATGACTAGTAGTAGATGTTAGAGATTCAGACACAAAAAGTGTTTAAAACCATCCTGCCTATAGTAGCTCATTTTCCAGTTCAACCGATGATAAATTTATTCCCTGGAATATAAATTGCTGAATCCTTTTATAGTAAAAGATTAAAAAGGGATTTCTGATTTACTTTTTTTATACATGATCTGCTATTTTCCCTATATTGATTGTTTCTCCTCTTATCAGTGATAGCTTTAAATTAATACCTTATTCTTAGCTGCCTTTTTGTCTGAGGACCTGACTCATATCTCCAGTCACGCTGTCAGTTCATCTCTGAGTTCCTTCTGTAGTGAGTGAGCTGTTACATTTGGGCCCAAGTTTAGGTTCCAAACAGGCTACACATATAGTCCATGTAATTCACGCTGTAACAAACTCTGAGATTACAAAAGCATGGATCCTAGTTGCAGCACTCACGGACAGAAGAAATCATGCTTTAAAGGGAAGACTGAGTCCTTCTGATTGACCTCTTCTCAGTGCCATGATTTTCCCACTCCTACGTTTTCTCTTTCTTCTTGGAAAAAAAAGCAGGAGGGAAAAGCATCTGTAAAGCTTAATGATAGGATAAATCCTACCAACACAGCATCCGGGAGGCTTTTTCATCATTATACTCCACTCTGATCATGTAAGTGGCTCCTAAGAACAAAGTGAAGGAAAAAAAAAAAAAAAAGAAACCAGTTAACCAGTTCATTCTTCCCTTTCTGATGTCAATAACAAGATTAATTTCAGAAATCATGTTCTAAATAAATACTCGTAAAGTAATCATTTCTGACACAGCATTACCTTCCTCATTTCATTAATCTGCATGTTGTGTAATCCACACTAAAAATTAGAAACAACTTTCCGCCTCTCAATGAAGACTAAATATTAGTGGTTTAGTGACAGCCAAATTATTAAACTATCATTTTTAAAAACAATGCATTACATTGTGTATCATTTTATCAAATATAAAAAATAATAGAAATTGCATTGTCAAAATAAATTAGCATCATATTTTCATGAGTTATCCTTGGTATTTCAAATGTTTTTGTTTGCTAATTCAACAAACTTCAATATTTTATAGCTTTCCAGACACTAGTTGTCATGACTTAAAGATGATATTATAATTATTGCTACAATCAGTGTATTATTTAACAGACTACAAAGTCTAGCATATGTTATTGCTTATGCTGTCATTTGAGTAAGATTCCAGGTATGTAGTAAAATTAAATGTTAGACTCTGATCTGGAAATCTATATTCTCTCAAGCAGTTCTTACTGAAGTGAGGTCTTCTGCTGATGCTACCTACTGTTGTCAAATTTGTCAACAGCCCTCAAAGATCACTTGAGGAACAAGCAGGAGACCTGTCAAAAGGAAAGTATTTTTATAATAGTTTGCAATATTGCACATGAAAAATGCATAACAGTTCCATTATTCAGCACTGATAATACATTGTCAGCTAACAAACTGCACAGTAAATTACTCTTCTTTCACAACCTTGCAGTGATGACTTCTTCCAGACCACTCATTTGCAATAAGAGGGGACTTCAAGATCTTGGATATATATATATATATGCATTGACTTTGTAATTTGCTTGTGTGCAGATACCTCCACCCTTGGAAACAAATACTTTTAGCACTTCTCTTGAAAAAGACGGCACTAGCTTTCGGAACAGCTACAATACTGAACTTTCTAAATTCATAAGGGCAAACCTACATCAAGTCAGACTAAAGTTTTTATAGTAATTTATCCTATTCTTAACTGCTGCTACGGAAAGTGTACAGAATTGTTAAATAAAGCACAAGGGACTGTTATTTGGTTATTAACTCCAGGGATTTCTTCCTTAGGGATTTCTTCCTTAAGGATTTCTTAAAACAGAGGTGTTAAATTTTTATCACTCTTGTTAAATCATCATGCTTTTTTTTGCTGTTTTTCTCTTGTAGTTGTTCTACTGCTTTACACAGGAAGTTTATTTCAGTATCTAGTTTTGCCATTGTTGGCTTCATTCATTTTCTGGTACCTTTGTTTCTTAGGAGACCTCGTTCTCCAGTTCCATCATCTTACCATGCTTTCTTCTGCTGAATCTTTGGAATATGTGAGGAAAAGCTGTAGTTGAAAATACTTGCAATTGTAATTGAAAGTACTATGGCAGGTCATTTAATGGGATATCTATTAATCAGTTGAAATACATTATTGGAGTGATACAGTGTCCAGGTTTTGCCACTTGTAGAAGATAGACCTTGCTAAACAGGAACACTTGACCTGAAAGGGGAATAAGAGATTTCAACAGTTTTGATCATTCTGGAGAGGAGTTGTCTTTGGACAGATGTAACTCTGAAAAGATTGTAAAGCAGCTGGAGCCATGTTCTTCAGAATAGTGCATGGTGAGAAGACAAGAGAAAATGAAATAGACTGAAACAAAAGAGCTTCCAACTGGGTACAGTAGAAACCTTTTCATCATGAAGGCAGAAAATTATAGGAAGAGGTTTTCCAGAGAGACGGTGAAGTCTCTGTCCTTGGATGTTTTCAAGATTTGACTGGATAAATCAACTATGGCTAACATTGCTTTGGAGAGGAGGTTGAACTAGAAACCTCCAGAGGTACCTTGCAATCTGAATTGGTTTATAGTTCTATGAAGGATGAGATATTAAGCACAGGCCTTCCTAATTTGAAGGAAGGAAGAATTTGTCTTGTTTTAAGTATGTTTTTTCTTGTACTGTGATGTTTTCCCACAGGGAAGATTAAACCATATTAGTTTTAAGAGCACTGTCAGGTCATTTTATTAGCTACTGTTATTTCATCTAGAAGGGAAGAATAACAACGAACATTTAGACTTATTTAGCAATAATAATTGGCACCCAGCTGGCTAATACTTACTAAGTTTTTGAGGAGGAAAGAAACAGGTAGTTAACATCTCAAGACAACAAGAACTAGAAAGAGCTCTTTATACATGTCTGTAACGTAAACTCATTATCTTCTCTTACGTCTGTTCTTAAAACATGTTCTAGCATCAAGTCTATGAATTCCTAGTGCCTGACTGTTTAGGTCCTTTTTTTGTTCCTATTAGTTTTATTTGTTTTGTAATCTCTCCTCTTATTTACTATTTTGCCGTGACACTGATAAGCCTAAGATATTGGGAAAGATTAGGAAAAGAACAGGAAGAAGTTGAATGTTCTGTAGGATACAGGAATTACGTAATGTATGGCCACTACTATTATGTTTGCATACACCATTTAAAAAAAAAAAAAAAAAAAAAGCCAAGAGTCTGGCCGATCTGTTTATGAAAGCTTTAAAACAAGGGTGATGGTGTAAGGAAGATGGCAACCCACAATCAGGTAAGAAAGCAGTGAACCAGGTTTGCAAGCAAAAGGAGCAGGGTGATATGGGCATGAAATGCCTCATAATCAAGAAAAGAGGTAAGAAGGTATCCAACCCCTAGTGTATCCATACAAATAAAGAGGTGCTAGGAGAACAGAATAAGGGGAAGCTCTCATTATTTTTCCTGGAAATCAGCATGACTGGATACTTCTCTGAAGTGTCTGTACACTGATGCACACAGCATTGGAAACACACAGGAGGAACTAGAGGTCTGCATGCAGGTGCAGGGCAGATATAGTTGCAATCACAGAGATGTAGTAGGGTAGTTCACGCAACTAGAGGGACATGGAGATGGATACAGATATAGGGGATGTGCTCTGCTGGACACAATAATTACGAACAAAAAGCTTGTGATCAATGTAAAGGCTTGGGGGCAGCTTTGTACGCAGTGACCATGAGATAATGGAGTTCAGGATCTTGAGAGAAGGGAACAAGGCAAGCAGTAGAATCACAATTCTGGACATCAGGGGAGCAGACTTTGATGTGTTCAGAGATTTTCTTGCAGGAATCCATGGGAGATGGTCCTGGAGACAAGACGGATCACCTCTTCTTTTCAAATATCACCTCTTTCAAGGTAAAGAACTGTCCATCCTACGAGTAGGAAATCAAAACAAAGTGACAGGAGGCCTGCATGGATGAACAAGGAGCTCTTGACAAAACTCGCGCTTGAAAAGGACAAGAAAGTGACTAGGAGTTGATCAACAGCATGGATTTTCTAAAGGCAAAATCCTGCCTAACCAAGACAATAGACTTTTATGATTAAATGACTGGCTTGGTGGATAAGGTGATATTTATCTTGACTTTAGAAAGGCTTTCATCGCTGTCTGCTATAATATCCCCATTGACAAACTGATGAAATACAGGCTAGGTAAGTGGACAGTGAGGCAAACTGAAAACCAGCTGCACTGCTGGGCTTAAAGGATTGTGATTAGCAGCATGAAGTTCAGCTGGAAGCCAGTCACTATTGGTGCATCCTAGGAGCCAGTACTGTTTAATATCTTCATTAATGATTGGGATAATGGGACAGATTGCACTCTCAGGAAGTTTGCTAACAAAACTGGGAGGAGTGACTGATAGACCAGATGGATGTGCTGCCATCCAGAAGGATCCCATCCAGAAGGCGAGAGAAATGAATAAACAGGAACCTCAGGAAGTTTTAGAAAAGTGAAATTCCAGGTCCTGTACCTAGGGGGGAATAACCCCATGCACCAATTCACACTGAGGTGCAACCAGCTGGAAAACATCTCTGTGGAAAGGGACTGGGGGCTCTGATGGACAACAAGTTGACAACAAGCCAGCAATGCACCTACATGGCAAAGAAGGCCACTAGAAATCACTGACTGGAGTGAAGACAACTAACAGTGTTAGTTACAAACAGTGAAAGCACCTAACACTTCCTACTGGCTATTAAAAATCTGTTAGACCTATTAATCAGAATAAGTTGATGATATTTCTATCAATCAGAATAAATTGATAGTGATAATTAAGGCATATCTGTTTTCATGGAGCCATATAAATTTAGTAGTAAATAGCAAAATTTTAATAAAATAGAACAGGTTTCATAAAACAATCTTTTGTAAAACCCAATATATGCAAGACCAATAATACTTTAGGAAAAAGACCGTAAGTATCTAACAGATAGTCTTCATTTCTGTATGCTGTTAATATCAAGTATTCTACAATTTGTTTACTACAATGCCATTCTAAAGTTTGTCAATTGTCTCATCTGTTGTATGCATGCACTTGCCACCTTTTCTCCAGTATTATACAGCATCTGAAAAGGTTTTCTGATTTCTACAGACAGTCAGCTAACCCCCACAGCAAGCTTATAAAAGTCTGTGCACTCTTCTGTGCTACTTTGGAATACTAGTCCTATTCTGCTTGCTGGAAAGCTGCTCTTTTGTTCACATGAGATGACAGAAGGTCTTAAAATATTAGCAATTGATAATTATCAATAGATACACAACTTCATAGTGTATTCTGCAACACATTAATGTATTGCACTACAAACCAGCATCTGATGTTTCTCTGTTCTTTCTTTGTGTAAAGGGATAAGATACAGAGTAAACATGCATGATAGCTACTGAAATGGTCCATAATTTTATACATTCTAAAGGCATGTAATAAAGGGTACATTTCCTAACATTTTAGAATATCTGGGTGTGGATACAGTGTAATCTAATAAATCATGAAAAGTATGTTGACCATGATGTATATACTTTGCAGCTGGAGGAGAAACCATCCAGGCTCTTTGTGAGAAGACAAAACATGCTAATTGGGAAAACTACCTGAGAAGATAAGAAATAGAGGCTGGAAGGAAAGAAAAATTAAGGAGAAAACAGACATTATTTGGATTATTTTAATTATATATATATATATATATATTAATTATTTAAAAAAAAAAAAAAAAGCCATTGATATGTCATGCAATTTTCAATGTTCCATTTTTAGTACCCAAAGGGATTAGCCCAGTAGTTTCTCTTAATGTAAATAACAAGGACCACTGAGGTAATTCTGACTATATAATTTTTTTTATTCCAAATGTTGTCCAGTTACTTAAGAATAGAGTACACTTGCACTTTTTTTTTTTTTTTTTAAGTTTTACTATCTGAGACCTTGTTTTAGATCAGAGAAGGATTACTTACTACCAGACTGACAAGTCAACATTTTGATATTTATCTGATTTGTCTCACACTTCATTGTGTTTCTAATGTAATAGAAAGTACTTAATTTCCATGAGTATTCATTTTTCATAATCTTCTGAAGAAACAAGTAAAGTTTCTGGCTCTTGTCTTGTAACACTTGTTCTTAGTGTTCAATTATGCAGATTTAACGATAAAATTGCATAAGATTGTTTTAACAGCCTGAAGTATTAGAACCACTAAATATGATTATCTTTAAGTTGCAGTTATTTGTTTCTAAAAGTATTTTATAAAAGAGGAGGAGAGAGGTTAGATAATTAACTATAAGCCCTTTTTGTCAAACCAACCAACCAACCACTCATTATGCAGAAACCTACCACAATTCTGCTTGTTGTCCTTGAACCATTGTATTAATTATTTTATGTTAGGTGGGTATAAAAATAGTATTAGGCACATTTTAAAGAAACTTACATTAATTATTATTTTAGAAAGTTTTATAAATTATGAATATATCTTGTTATTGACATGAGCAATATATTCTAAGATAATTATATCAGTATGAATATAGAGATCAAAATATTCTTTTCACCTGATCAACAGGTTAGTTACATATTAAATAACATATTCATGATATGTTAGCATTTTATTATTATTAACATATAACAATTTGCTTATTGAAGTTGAGGAAGGGGCACACAGCATAATACTTCTGCATGTATAGTGATATTCAGTGGTTTGCTTTCTCTTTCACAAATATGTTTTCTTCAAATTTGCTTTCTCTGAAAAACAGGAATACCCTCCATCCCTCATCAAATGCTTTCCATTTAGTTCTTTCACTGCTCCAGGACATTTAAAATTTTATCAGACATGTTTATTAAAGAATTAGCCTTTCATATTCTAGCTATTGAATCCTAGCTGCATTAAGACTCTTATGAGTCCTACCAGTGTGACCTTTGAGCACTTCATTCTCCCTGTAGCTATAACAAGTTCAATGCAAATCTTGTTCTTTGGTGAAAATGAAATACTTCTAAGTGCATTTTGAATTTTGAGGTTAATATTTTTCTTGGAATAGTTGAAAAATGTTTCCATATGGGATGTTAAATGCACATGCAATGAAGATAGAAAAAGAAATGAACTTAAAACCACAGAATTCATGATTATTCAAAGTCAGAAATGGAAAAGTCCTATTATGTAACTGCCACTAGATTTTGTTTGGGTATGCAGGAAATTAAATAAGGGATAATAATTTAACACTTGAATACAAACGAAGTATTTGTACTCCTCAGACAGAGAAATTTCTCTTAAAATCTAAATCAAAACTCACTTATTATGAACTTTGCAGAGATGAAAAAGACAATGACAGAATCTGTATCAGAGTCCAGACTAGTTACACCTATTTTCACTGCAATGGGAGAGAATAGCCTTCTGAATGGCTGACTGAATTAATTTGTTTAAGTTTCTGAGCCTTGATTTCATATTCTGAAGCCAGTTCTGACTTTCTTTGCTGCTTCTTCATTACTGTAATGAGAACAAAGAAAATGAAATTTTTTAAATCTTAAATTTCTGAAAAAAGTGTGTATGAAGAGGTCATTGAAAGAAGAAATAAACATCACCAGACCACAGTGTTTCTTACGCAAAACTTTCAGTGAAAGTATTATTCTGAATTGGACTAATGAAAAAGTAGTTTAAGAAACTAATTGTGAAGGTATGTTACAAAACCTAAACAAACAAGGAACATCTACAGCTTTTTGTCTTCTCTTTGAGTTGAAGGCTGAATGAACAGGTAGTTAAATAACCTTTTGAAAAGGTCCACGGATACTGACTGCTGAATTTCAATCAGCAGTCAGTGACTCGGAAGCTTTTCCTAAATACAAAAGAAGGGCACGGTAACGCAGACCCCTTAGCTACCTATATCACCTATCACTCACATCCTCAGAATTTAGAATTTTAATATCTTCCCCTTGGTGCTTTCTTATCTCTACACAAATGGTCTAGCTCTCTGGGTCAGGGTACCTCTCCCCGCAGAGGCTGCTAGAGCACTAAGCAACACATCTCACACCAGCCAACAAGCAGCTGAGAACAAACACAGCATACATCAGAGCTCACCTGCTCTGGCAGCATGTAGATAAACACTTCTGAATCCTCTGAAAACCTACAGGAAATTGTTGAATATCTTCTGTGTATGAATAATGCATACCTATAAACTCCTCTTTTTTTGGTGCCATATTACTCAAAATTACCAAGCTGGTAGTGTGAAGTTTTGCTTGTTGTTGCTGTACCTTGTTCCAGTTATCATTTTTTTTTTCTGTTAAATTAAGAGCTGACTGGTTGTTGAGTTATGGTATAATATTTCATACCTTGTGAATTTAACAACACTCAGACTCCAGTGTTGTACCTACTCAAACAAAAGGTGTGAATTATAGCTTCATTATTCACACCCTGTCATTTCTCATTGCTTAAGCATTATATTGAGGTCAAACAAAAAGATTAATTTGGTTTAGGTTTTGTTTCTGTCAATTAAAACTCACTTTGAATGTTTTGTAGTAATAGCTTGTCATCAGAAGAATAAATTATTTAAGAACAAACAATCCTTAATATATTTTAAAAGTGCACGACTTTTGGCATGGGAATTTCAAGACCAAAAACTGGATTCATCTTGACTAACCATGCTCAGCTCACTGATGTTCCAGCTGCACAGACATGCTTTTGGACAAAAATTAGCACCTCCAATTGGCAGTTCAGATCTAGCTGTCTTTGGTAATCTATCTGAATAATAACACTAAAATAATATCATAATTATTTTCCTGATTGAGGAATGATCACAAGTTCTAATTCTCAGTTTTGAAAGAAGAACATATAACTCAGAAAATATTTGAAGGTGTCTTTGTGATTAGATGCTTATTATCTATTGGGAAAATACTAATTTAAATTGTTGGTATACTTTTCTTCAAATACTAGTATGCTAGTGTATATTTCTTTGCTGGTGCTGTTTTCCAACATCGCTGTTCTGAATACAAAACTCCTGTGCTTGTTTTCTACAGTCATTGCCACCTACTTGAGACTGTAATATGTTTTTGAAAACTGACACGACCTCTTTCATTAGAAAGGGGGAATTATAATCCATTATGCTGAATTTGTTATAATACACAACAGAGAAATTGAGAAACTTCACAAAGGAAGAAACTGAAATGTTTAAAACATACAAGTTTTTAAAAATTAAGTTCAAATTTGGAAGAAGGAATGTGTTTCTGATAGTGTCAAGGACATACTGCTTTCGATCTTAAAAAGAAAAAAAGTTTAAAAAGGTCTCTGATCGTTAAGAAAATAAACTCTATGAAAAATATTGCATAATTTCCCTAATAAATGTATTTCAAGATAATTTTATATTTCTTGCAAATGTTAATATATTTTTCGCAATATATCATGTTACACTTTCTGATCATAAAGGAAATGTTTTGGAGGAAAGGGTTGGGTTTGTTTTTTTGTCTTTGTTTTGTTTTGTTTGTTTGTTTGTTTGTTTGTTTTTTGGTTTTTTTTTGACAAAAGCCCTATGTAACTAAGGAATTAGAGACGTAATGAAAAGACTATCTTCTTCAGGCATTCCAGGTTTAAAATCTGGCAACAAGTAACACAAGAAAAAGCAGGTTTGCATCTTGCCTGGATAAATCAGTGCTGAAATTTTCACATGTTGAACCATTCAGCTCCACTGAACGACTAGATAGCCCATCTTTAGTTTGGAAAAAAATCATGCTCATTGGGTCTCTGTGATTTTCTCCTATACTTGAGATCCCTCTGTCCTCATGCGTACAGCCATAATTTGCCTCAAGTCCAGGATTGGTGCTCTGCTGCTCTCCTTCCTCCATCCCCTTCGGATCTTGAACTACTATTTCATGGTCACTACTGCCAAGACTGCTGCTCTTTACTATATCCCCAACAAGTTCTTTGTTCATGAGTAGCACATACCAGTACTGAGGGGGTAATGGTGAGATACGCTTCCTAAAACAGTAAAAACAATGTCACATTATAAGGTTTGTGTACTGTGCTCGATTATTTTGTACCTCTTGTTTGAACTGGGTTCAACATTACCGTACCTTGCTTGTTGTGAGGATACTAAAATGGAAAACAGTATTTCAGCAGCAATTTTGTGCTATGTAAAGAGGCAAAATGGCTTTTTTACTTCTTGATATTACCCACTATATATATATATATATATATATGAAGGTTGTATCAGGCCCTTTTACTGCAGTATTGTGCTAAAATATTATGCTGAGGCAATTAGCTACAATGACCCCTATATCCTTCCATGAATCACTGCTTTCCAAGACAAAATGTTATGAATTAATAATAGTCATGCATCCTTCCCTATGGTTAATTTCACATTTACTGAAATACTGGAGCTTCTGTTTGGCTGACATTGAAGCTAGCAGGTTTTTTAAGTACCTTAAATCCTCCTGATTTTATTAGACTTAAATATATAACTCTCTGATATACAGTCACCAAGCCACATTCTCAGCTGATGTAAATCAATGTGACTTGCTGTTTACCTCAAATAATGATCTATATCACACACTGCAGTTGCTTAAATGAAGCACAGACATCTATATGATATGCATTATTGGCTGCTTTACACATAATTGATCAAGATTAATATTAAATATTATATTGTAAAAAATGTGAACTTACAATTATTTGGAAAAAATTAGTCATTTAGATTTGTTAATTACATAGAAATTATAACATGATTCATTCAATCAAAGCATTGAATACTCTGATACTTACATTGGTATAAGGTCATTGTTCCTCTGAGGCTTTCTTTATCTACTCGAGTGAATCCCCCTTCTCAATCCTACCCCTTCCCCCGCATAAATACATACACATGTGTTCACTAAGCCTTTATTTTTCCTGGAATGGACTCCTGTGATTCTGTCATTTTCAGTCAGAAAGCAGAT